AATAATGCTGTCTGCAATATACAAATTGAATATAATTAACAATGGTAAATTAAAAATTAGCAAAAGTATGAACAAAATGAAATTAAAATTAGACATAAAATGAACTTTTAAGGATTGATGTTTACTTAATTTTCTTCGACAAGTGCTTATTATTTTCCATTACTAAACTGTTAGGTATTTTAAAATAAGATGTTGGTATAAGTAAAATGTATAGAACAATAGGAAATTAAAAATAAAATCTTGAATGCGTATATGCAATATTTCATTAGCCTAGTTATAAAATCTTATTTCATAATTTTCAACGAATATTCTATCTTAAATCAAAATATAAAATTGAAAACAAATCTTTTTTGTTTTTTATTTTCCTACATATTTTTATAAAATATATAATCTATACATTTTTCCTTAAATACAGTATATATGTTTCCTATAATTCTTTAAAAAAGTTTTACTGGTCACATGATACGGAATTACATATCATAAATTAGACGAAGCATAAAATCATTTGCTTAAAATAAATAAAATATTAATGTATTTTGTTTTTCCTCATGTTTAATTTTATTTGTGATGGTATTAAAATTTTAAAGTAGAAAGCAATCTAAAATTATTTGTATGTTGTGCTTCAATTCTTATTTTCATACATACTTTCATTGCCTGTTTTCCTCCACACATATTTTCCTTTTTACTTTTGAATTACTCATAAACAATATGAATCTATAAACAATCAGTTATGATATGATTAGATTTTTCATAACAGCTAAATTTTTATGGATCGTGACATAAATTTTAAATTACATAATTGTAATTAGTTTAATTATGAACTAGTCAGATATACTGAAAACGTACAGCAATCAACATAGGAATATATACCTTTTTATTTCCTTATTTCATCATTGTAAAAATAAAAAAATATCACTGTATGTTGCAGAAAATAAAATTTAATATTCTACTATAAATCTTTGTTTATATCATTAAGACTTTGTTACAAAATATTTGAATTTTGCTTCATCAGATTTAATAAGTTTTGTATATACAGCCTCTGTAAAGAGACAAAGATGACAGATGATACAAAGAGGAGAGCAAACTATATACATAATCACTTCGTTCAAAAAAGTGATCTGAAGTGTTGCCACATGTTAACATCTCTTTTTTTTCTTCTGCATGCCTACATAAACAAACATAACAAATATTAACAGTCAATGTTAAAGATTCAGTCTTTATGTTGATTGGTTTACTTGAGTTCTTGCTTATTTCTGAAATTTTCAGATTGTTCTTTGACATTTCAGTTGTGTGATCTGTATTATGATCAGTTGGTTCGTCTGATAAAGGTGGCAATGTTGTTGATTTTATAATTATGGTTCCTTCTGCTAGTCTCTCTATTTTTATCAGATAGAGTTGTGATGTGTTTCTCTGCATTGTTTTCTCTTCTTTTGTTTGGAATGTCACGGATTTTGGATAATTAATGTGTCTCATGACAATAGCTATTTTCCAAGTTCTGGGTGTCATTTGGTCTCTTACATTATCTCCTATAGTGAATGTGTATCCTTGTTGAGTACCTCTGTGTAAAATGTTTGCTTGTACTGTTCTTTTTCCAAAAGTGCTGGTACATTTGCATTTACATTTGACTTTTTCCTTTGCCTAAGATAAGAAAGGTAAGATATGTTTTTGTTACTCTGATTATAAGTCTTTGATTTGGAAATCAGAGTTCTTTGCTTCTGGTGATGTTACTAAAGTTTAGAAGTGCCAAGAATATGTCCATTTGATTAAATTAGCCTTTCTTAGAATATTATTTGCTATCTGTCCATTTGTCAGCAAAGCTGTTAAATCTTTTAGTAGTATGGACTGTTTGTTTTAAGTTCAAATTGCCAATATTTGAAAAAATTTTTTTAATTCCTTAGATATTAATTGTTTGCTTCTAATGTTTCAGAAATTCCACATATTGCAAACTACTCTTCAAAGATACCTATCACCTCTGGATGTTTGTGGATAGTTCCTTAAATTCCAACCATCCAGAGTAACTGTCAGCTGTTACAATGTAGGGATCTGATTTCCAAAAAATATCTGAAGCTACTATTTGCCAGAGAAAGTAACATATTGGTTTCAAACTAATAGGTTGTTTGAAGTATTTTTTTGAATTCGTTCACATATCTTGCAATTTTTAATAAGATTCATTGTATTGTATTAATCCTCTCCAATACAATACCTCCCTTACTCTTCTGATACAACTCATAACACTACAACTTAACTCATATACCCTCATGTGTCATACATCAGGGACACCCTGTTTGACATATTTCAACATTTTTAGGATTAGTACTTTTGGTACTACTACCTTGTTAGCTTTAAATACCATTCCTTCATAATGTGAAAATTCTTCTCTTAAGTAAAAGTAATGTTGAGCAATAAATGATAACTTTTTTCCTTTTCTGATCAACCAGCCTGTATATTCCTTATGGCTTGTGTTGTCATTGTCATAGCCTAAGTCTTTCTGCCTACTAATTAGAAGTCATTTGTATACTCCCCTCCAAACATATTTTAAGTTCTCTTCATGCTCTTTTGAATATCATCTTTAGTGTTTACAGATGAAATTCATCAAAGCTACATCTAATAATTGTTTTAGCTCTTTGACTGTTGCATGACAGTTTTCTCTTTCATATTGTTCTAAACCAAATTGTTACATATTAAACTGAAGGAGGCCATACCACATCAGATTCATGTACAATCTGGGCAAATTTTGGGTTTAATGACAAATTCACAAATATTGGTTCTGATTATGTTATTAAACTCACTAAATTTGTCATCAAGACACTCTTTAACCAGGAGATTCAGGATACAATCTCATGCCTAGGAACTTTGTTGTTATTTTGCAATAGCAAAGGTGTCTTACAACTAACTATATAGGACTATATAATTTTATTACAAAACAAATCTATACTGATATTATAAAGAGGTAAAGTTTGTAAGTTTGGATGTAGGAGGTAATCTCCAAAACTACTCATCCAATTTCAAAAATTCTTTCACCAATATTTAGAATGGACCTTCAGGGTGGACATAGGCTGTATATTATTCCGTTAAATATTCATATAAATTAAAAGATATCATCTAGGTAAGCATTATATTTTTGGTGTCAGCGAGTGGCTAGGGACAAGACACATACGTATATGAGGTAGGTAACCGCACGGCGCAGTCGCATGGTTGGCGAGATACGCAGTGCATGTGTCCGAACTTATAGTATATAAAGTTGACACGGGGAACGCATGCATGTAAGTTCACTTTATTTGAACTCTTAGTTTTAATGTTTGATTTTATGTTCAAATTTATATTTATGAATGATTCCAGAAGATCCAACTTATTTTTCAAATTTAGTAAACTAGAACCCAGAAAGGGTTATGAAAACTTTTGTTATTTATCACTTAGTAGTACTACACACTGGTTAGTGGTTGCTGTGAATCTTAATTATCATTATCCCAGTTTGGTAAGCAGATATCTAAAAATTTTCTAATTAGTCTCAGAAGAGAGGGGGGACCTAATTCTTGCACTCAGTGAAAATGGATAAGATCAGCTATAATCTAATGATCTTAATCTTTGTTATCATTTTTGTTCAAGCAACGCCAGGCTCATCTGTAAATATTTAATAAAACAAAGATTACTTGCGATTTTTTTAAAATAGTAAAGGATGTATACTAAAATACATTACATCATGATATAGTCTATTGAAGTTTTTGGAAGCAATCACGACAGAATTGTCACCGAAAATGATATTCAATCATTTGTGTATTATGACTTCGGAGAAACAAAATCGGATCATTATTCCAGAATATTAATTCTTTACAAAATATTATTACAAATTTTATGGCAAATCTTTATCATCATAATATCTGATAGATAGTTAAATAAATAAAACAAGAGTAGGAATTGTCATTCAGTTTCTAGAGTAAGATTTCAGAAAAATAAAAAGTGATAATGTGTTCTCAATTTAAAACGTATAGTAAATACAAGACAATAAACATAATAAATTATGTTCTTTGTGGGTACAATTACACCTCCAAACAAGACAGTTGGGATCTCATTGGAGCAACTGGAACCACACCTCTACATGCAACCCTCGGCAAGATATGCCCCAAAATCGACCTTATTCTGGGTCGCAGGCGATAGGGAGTGACAATGCGCCACTAAGGATGCGACTATGCAGATGCAAGTGAGCAAATTTTCCAGCAAGCAAGAATATGTGACAAGAAGAGGCAAGACACGATTAATATCCAACCCTGTCAGATATGTGCAAGAACTAGAAATTCTCGCTTGTGCATGTTTTTCTTTGCAAGAACTATATCACTTGCAACTTCTCGCTCACTACTAAATTCGCATCTGCATAGTTGCACCCTAAGCCTATCGCATTTAACTATTCAGCCAAGGCAACGACACCAGCTTCAAGTAGCCCACTGGACTGTTGCAAAGTACTTCACATTATATAGCTTTAGGAGATGGATGCAAGCCCACACCCTAAAACACTTTGATTCAAGGGAAAGAAACTACACATGGAGTATCGGTCAAGGCCAGAGGCAAATATCTTACAAAGGATCGTATGTACAGTTATGGTTCTATTGATGTTTTTATTTGTACAGGGGAGTCCATAACTCTGGAGAGTGACAAATCCCCATGGCAATGTCACCATTGACTGTGTTTCTTGTATGTCATCCAATCAGTAAGGCCAAAATGCATTTTGAAAAAGTTAAATAGGCTGGGTGTATAATAAGCCTGTTCAAACTAGTTTTTGTACTTAAATGATACAGGCAAGAAGCTTTTTAATATATCCCTCATTCAGAGTTTACATCTTACCATTTGATTTACATTACTTCGATGTAGAAGTTACTTTTAGGTAAATGATAAATATATAAACACACGTATATTGACCTAAAAGTAACTTCTACTTACATCGGTTATGCACATGTCATTATCATTATATAAATTATTAAAATGTTACTTTTAATCAGAAAACTTACTTGAAAATTCTTCAAATTTTATTTCTTATACTAATAATAATACTTTGTTAACGTTGAATACATCTAAATTAACCGCAAATACGAATTTTGTTTATTGGTGACAGACGACTAGCACGGCGCCATGTTCGTGACGTCAAAAATGGCGCTTTCGTCTATTTTAAAAAAAATTTTTTTATATTTTCGTTTTATAAATTATTTCCATTCGTTTCTAAAATAATTTCATTTTCTTCTTTCGTAATAATAATTAATAATAATAATAACTGTAATGAAAAAAAAACAAATAATTTTATTCATATTTAAGCATATTAAATACATCTTCAATTACATAAAACCATCCTGTTTATGGCCATTCAATCGAAGGAGGATACACAGACTAGGAAATGAGATTATATCCCAGACGACCTTGCAGTCACGTGATCGGAACGAGGTAAACTCCTGTATAAGTTAAATAACCTTGCAATTTGCTATTATAAATAGTTATTACACCAAATTGGCAATTTAAAAAAAAAAAGTGCAGGAAAATCCAGAAAAAAATTGATAATCAACCAGACAGAAAAGGTGTGTTTCCAGGAATAGATTTANGGATAGATAGCTCATAATTATCTTGATGTATCTTATTCGAATTTTAATTAAACGAGGAAAAAACTATAATGCTAATTTCCAGTGTTTTCAATTTTTAAATAAGTCCACACATATTAAAATTGTTATATTTAAATTTTATTAAAATACTGAATTTTTAAATAATAAATTTCACTGATTAATTTTATACAAAAAATACAACTCTAAAATCATTACAACATACTTTTCAAATTAATACAAAAATAACTTATAATAAAATTCGAATCATAAATAATAAAATTAGACAATACAATTCATATTTAAATAATAATTAACAGTCCCAGAATTTTCATCCTAAATTTTTTTTCTGAAAAAAATTTTTATAAGTATACTTTAAAAGTACCAATGCATTCATATTTACATAATTTATCATGATGTTGACATAAGTATATATAACAATATGAAATATTGTTGTAATAATTTATGAATTTATATATTGTATATTACATGCAATTTAAACCTTTAAATGGCTTACTAATTTACAGAAATTTTATAATTCACTGAATAGTTGAAAATTTCAATACACAACTTTAAAAGAATGTCTTATATATACAGTTTTTATAAAAATGATTCCTCTAATCCTACTAAATATTGACAAAGTACATAACATATCAAATTAATTCATTCATTATAAAGAAACAAAATAATAAATATCAAAACATTTCAGAATTTTTTTTACAAATATTAAAAATCATTTTGTATATTTCATAATTCATCAAAGAGATCGTCTGAATCATATTCTTTCTCATCAAAGTAACTGTTGGCGGCATCTATTTTACGATACTTGCCACGCGATCGGCTCGACCCACTTGCCGATCCGGCCTTCGCACCTCTGGAGGTTTGATTTTTTCTTACGTATCTTCCTTTTCTTTTAGGAATTAATTCTGTATCCAATTCTTCATTGGAAACTTCACCTGAAACATTTTCACTTTCATTGTCTACATTTGTTGATTTTGTACATTTTCCTGTATTATCATCATTCTTGCTTGTTGTTTCTTCCTGCTGACATTTTAATTCCTTTATTTTTTCTTTTTTGCTATTTAATATTAAAATAAATTTAGAATACAATTCTTTTTCTAAATTTTCTTTCCATTTTGCTGTTTCTTCTAGTAGAGCCATACTTTCATTTTTATCTTTAATCAATTGCATTTCTTGTTGTTGTAACTGAACCACCTCACTCTGCAGTTTTTTTATATTTATTTCAAATAGTTCTAATATATATTTCATAACATCTTTTACATCTGAAACAGAAAGAACTACAGAACCAAAGAGAACTCTAACTTCCTCTTCTTCAATTAACTTCTTCCATTCAAACACATAAACATCACCACTTTTCTTGATATCATAGATGAATTTTAAACTGGAATTAATAAACTTTAAGGCGTTTTTAGTTTCTTCTAAGTAATTTTCATATGTTTTTCTCAACTTCAATGCTTTTTCTTTCAAAAATTCTTCCTCCAAAATCCCTTTAAAATATTGATCACTTTCAAGTGAAATTAGCAATATATGAAACTGATTATTCTCTTGTTCGTACAAAGTACACAGATAATAATCCTCTTTACAACTGACGACGTTAATTTTAGTTAAAGCAATCATTTTAAACGATTAAAAACCTAAAAACCTACATGTCACGTGTTAAACCAGGAAGCGCCATTTTCCTTTCAATTCAGTGCGCCATCTAGAGGAAAAAATTTATTTTACATTATTTTTTTTTTCTTTCTTTTTTTCTTAATTATTTAAAATATTTATCTTTAATTTCATTTTATTACTTTTTAATTAATATTAATAATAATACATTGAAAATATAAGATACGAATTTATTTATATTTAATTATAATACACGCTTATTAATTAATTAATAATTTACGATTTAAAATTCATTAAGAAAAAAAATATATGTCTATTTATATAAGAAATAAATTTTATACTTGATTTAAATATTTCTTATACATTAAAGTAAGTAGTTCTATACTGGAAACACGACACTGAAATATTAAACTGTAGAAGCTAAAGCTAACAAAAATTGATTTAAGAATATGAACAGAAAATAAAAAGAAATATATCTTTTGCTGTGCCTACAGCATAGAAATGATGATGAAAAATCATTTATCAAAGGAAATTATTCTTTCTTTTATGAATGATTTTTCATCATCATTTAATGAGTTACAGTATTTGAAATTATAATTATACAATTTTTTATATTAAATTTCTTAAATTTAATATAAAATTAAATTCCTTTAACCGGTGAAAAATTATCCACGTATTTTATTTATTTTATAATTTTTTAAAGCATATTTTTTTTATGCAATAAAGTATTCTTTTAATGTATAATCTTCCATCATCAATGATTTATTTTGTTTATAATTATATAATGTTTTTTTTTTTTTTTTTTTNCACTTAATGACTCCTATTGATGGACGAACTTCGATTTCTTTGTTCGGCAATTTAACGTGTTAAAAAAAAAGTAAACAATAATAATAATAATAATAATAACTGTAATGAAAAAAAAAACAAATAATTTTATTCATATTTAAGCATATTAAATACATCTTCAATTACATAAAACCATCCTGTTTATGGCCATTCAATCGAAGGAGGATACACAGACTAGGAAATGAGATTATATCCCAGACGACCTTGCAGTCACGTGATCGGAACGAGGTAAACTCCTGTATAAGTTAAATAACCTTGCAATTTGCTATTATAAATAGTTATTACACCAAATTGGCAATTTAAAAAAAAAAAGTGCAGGAAAATCCAGAAAAAAATTGATAATCAACCAGACAGAAAAGGTGTGTTTCCAGGAATAGATTTAATGCCTTTTTTTTATTATTAAATATTAATTATGGAATACTTTGCTATTGTTTTAACACATAAATGTATTGTTTTTACGTGTTTAATATTACAAAATAACTAATCACGTGACCTTGATGATCAATTGCTATATATGCTAAACGTCACCCTGGAGGCTGTAGAAGTCTGGGTGCTTCAGTCCGACCTTGAACAACATCCCCCTGGTTATATATATCGTCATATTTGAAGTGACTTTTAACGGCACGTGCCATTATCTATATAATAAACATTAAAGAAACGTAATAATATAACAATTTATTTGCATTCCAAACAATTAAAAATTAACCATTTTGTTACAAATGTAATATATTTAATTAATGCTACTTTAATTTTAATTTTTTTTTTTTTTTTTTGGTATTTTTGTCAGAAAGGGCTCAAGGTCATTTATTTAAGAGACAAATCAATTATTGCTAAGTAATATTGTTAAGAAATGCAATTTGTTACTTGTCTATTGAAACGACTTTAATTTGCAATTTAATTTATTCTATTTCTTTTTAAGTCTTCGTTTTATTAAAACAATTAAATATCCGTTTTTATCACAATTAATTACGTTTTTAGTTTAATTAAAATTTTTAATTTTTAATAAGATTTATTTACTCGAATTTTATTAAAATCGTCCTGTGTGTTAGTATATATATATATTAATTCGTATTTTATTAATGTTTGATTAAATATTCAGAAGGTTTTTTCCTTAAAGAATTTCCTAGTATACATGATAAATAATAGCTTTAATATTGGAAATTTTCAAGGACATAATACTAGAAAAGTTTCGAAATGAACTATTTATACTAAAATAGTTGAAAGAAACTATCCAGATTGATACTATAAAGAATAAAGCACTCTAGCAGACGTTATAAGTCACGAAATGTTATTTAAGATCTATATTTTTAGACGTAGAAATGTTTTGCAATAGATATAAATCATTTATATTTTTTATGATCTAATTGATTTTTTTTAATAAACAAATTTCACTTGAAAAAATGTTTATAAATAATATATATATATATATATTTTTCCCTGTCTTTTATTGATAATTTAGATGTGTAATCGTTCAATGTTAAAGTTCAAAAAGTAATTGCTTTTATCATTGATTACGTGCAATATCGCATGACATTCGTGATAGAAGAATTTCAACTTTATTATTATTATTATTTTGTAGATTATTAACTAAATCGTTGAAAAATTTTATTTTCTAACGGCGTAAACATTCTCATTTTTCTTGAGTAAATACGTGTTACTATATTTAGAAAGCGGTTAAAAATATATATATCAACATTCAAATTTATGTCAAGGAGGAGAATGTTTTTAACTGTAAACTTTTTAATAACTTAATTTTAACCATATTTTCACACATGAAAACAGGAAATCACGTGAGACAGTAGAAACTCGTGAACAGCTGCCACATTGTTCAAATGGATTGTGGGAACGATGACAGAATAATGTCTTTTACCGGTCGGGATCGCTGCACCTGTCTAGTAAGAGATTTAACTTAGGAAAAAAAAAAATGTAATTATCAAATAAGCTATCACTAGTAGCATTTAAAACAAGAAGGGAAATAAAATATGTATACAATTTATTTATTTATAGAAAATTTAGAAATTTAATCCCAAATATCATATAAAATAATGTAAAAAAGAAACGTTTAAAAATAATAAAAATAATAATAAAGAATAAAAAATTGTTTACGTTACAAATTAATAAAAATCGTGATTTTAATAATAATTTTTTAAAATATTCTTATTATATTTGTTTATTTTAAACAGCTGATGTATATAAGAATTAATCACTTACGTTCGACTTACGAGCTTAATTGTTTGTAAAGAAAAAACAAAATACGCATTCATTAATAAAAGTCATAATTTTAATGAATGAAAAACGAAATTGACAAGTATCACGTGAGATCGTAAGAGCGCTTAATAATTGTTGAAAAAGACATATTTAATAGTAAACGAAATTAAATGAATGAACGAAATTGACAAATATTCATTATTGTAAATTTAATCGATTTCAATGAATGAATATTTATTCAATTGAATCGTTTTNCATAAACTTATAAAACTTCTATATTCACTTATTTTAAACACGTTTAAGCTTTGAATAAATTATTATTATTATTATTTTTTAATAGGAAAACGTTCGAAATTTTACGTGCACGCGTTTTTTTATTATTATTTTTTAACATGTGACACGTGGATTTTGAAATTGATCATTTTATTACGAACAGCTGTTTCGAGGGGAGTAAACGTGCAACAAGTTTTAATTTTTAGTTGATTATATATATATATTTTTTTCTTAATTTCTACCTTTTTTTTGCCCATTTTTTCCCTTCATTTGTTAATTGTTTAAATACTTTTCCTAAACACACCCTTTCTCCTAAAGGGCAGGTGTACAACTTATCATATCTGCACCGGGCTATAGCCGTTCCCGTCAATTGCTACCGAATCTAAAAATCCGGTTTTTACCCGCCTATCACGTGACCTAGGCTGGTTAGGTCAGGCCATGGAGTGCACCGGAGACGTGTGTATAAATTAAAGTATACAAATATTGTACTTTTCACTTAACGTACGTAGCCTTGTAAATAAATAGAAAAATGGCTATTTTTCCGAAGACGTTAAGAGTTTCGTTTACGTTTTAATTAATCAATTAACTATTTTGGCTCATATTTTGTAAATTTTTAAGTTCTTTTATTTTAGAAAAAGGAGAGAAAGAGACAGAGAGAGAGAAAAAAACAGTTGAAGGCTACAGGCTAATGGCTGACTCACGTAATAGCGAGGTCAGGTCGTTTAAAATATGGCAAAGTACCGGACGAACTACTTTCTGTATAGCCATCCTTTCCAACTGAATATATAGATATATACATAAATAAGTAAGCCAAACGTTGTTTAGAATGTTTATAAACATCTCCAAACGACAGCGAATTTATAATTTTTTAAGTAAAGCGGTCGAGATTGATTTTTTTTTAGTTTGCCTAAAAAAAATAAAACGAAATAAATAAATCAAATTAGAAAGGATTTAAGGCCTATTCGTTACCTCAATAGGCATTCCAACAATGTTAAGAAAATCATCCAAACGTGTCGTGTGGTTTATATATCAATGTGGGTCATCAACACTGAACTTCCTTATATTGCTTTTTTTAATTCACACACAACAGAAAAAAAAAATTGTATATTATATAAATCAGAAAAATCTGATTTGTATTTTTTTTTTGTTTGTTTTGTTTCTCGATCGTGAGATCGTCATCATCGTTATCGTCATTAATAATACAATCCATACAGTATCACATTCACGCACTCACACACGATCGTCGTCGAGAGACGTCACGATTCTAAAGATGCCAACAAGCTATGGTACACTACGTTATCGAAATGGTTTCCTTGATGGGAATCATTCACTAAAAAGTCCTTTACGGTCCTATACTGTGTGGCACACTGACTACTTCCACTGGGATTCCTGGACCTGTTCCTGTTCCCTTTCGATCTTTCGGGTGTCAGGGGGCATCTATCTGGTAGGTTAATTCTCAAAAATTCTTCGTGTACACCGAATATCTCGTCGCACGAAACATCCTCTTTGTTGCTATCTAAATTACGATTGGAATTTTTTGGATATTCGTCATCGGGTAGCTGAGGATCGAAACCCCAGTTTTTCGATTTGAGCATGATTGCATTCTGGTTATTGCGCTCCTGACGTATCTCCATTTGAAGTTTTCTAACTGTGTTATTTATAAGAACGGAACGTCTTAAGTATGCTTCCGGATCGTCGATTCTTCTTAATTTATTCACTGACATTTTTAATACTTTTCGTCTCTCGTCCTTCCACTTCATGCGTGGACTCCATAGCAATGGTACTCTCCTTCTAGGAAGAGATTCGTTCTCTTCTAGTTTAGTTCTCTTAGCTTCTTCTGTGTCCAACTCTTCGCACTGTTTCCTCTTGGTGCCGTTTCCGACGCATTGCTGCCCTGCAACGTGCATAAAACGAGCAATTAGAAATCAAAATTGCACCATCCACAATAAAAAAAAAACAAATTAATTCTATAGCCTAAAGTATGTAAGGAATGGCTAACTTCCCGGTCGATCAAAATAGAAACCCGGTCCACCTGTATCGCTCACTCATTTTCTAAGATTAAGACGAATCGAATGCTAAGAGGGATATAAAAAAACGCATTAAAAAAATCCATCTTGGCAGAGTTTAGAAAGAAAACAACTTTGCTTATACAGAATCAACACCTTCGGAATTATGTTGCGACAAAATTCCATTTAATTTACTACATTCTACTAAGGAATACTTTAGGCAACGTTCCAAAAGACAGAAAGAAAGATCCGTAATGCGTTAAAAATAGAAAATTGGAAAAGAAAAATCAATTTAAAAAACAAAAAAAAATTCGCAAAATATATATACCCAAAAATCGCATTATTGCCTTACATATCGATTTATGAGTGGATAGAGAAAGTCTATCAAACATTTGTGTATTTTTTACAATCCAGAAAAAACAACTTAAAGAAAGAAAGAAAAAAAACACCAAAAAAATCGCTTGGGTTGCATCAATGAAATTGAATTTTTCCGGCCAACTTTCAATATTAAAATTGATTGATACACGTCGGAATTCGTGATACATTCGATTCTGTGTTAGGGAATGTAAAGAGCAGGTGTCCAAAAATTCAGCAAAGAGGAACGAACGGAAATTGTGGGCCCAGGATATCCGCAACTCTCATCTGAACCCGATCTATAAACGTCCATTCCGAAAAGAATTGTTTATGGTAACAGTAGAGGTAGTGAATAATTTATCGCTTTCCTTACCCAGTAATATATATATATATATATATATACACACACACACATACACACAGTGTCTTCAAAAAGTGTGCTATCATTTTAAATTATTCTAATTGTTAATTATTATCCAAGAACATTGTAATGTACTGTACATTAAACATTGGAAAACCATCCAAGTTTCACATTTCNGAACGAAATTGACAAATATTCATTATTGTAAATTTAATCGATTTCAATGAATGAATATTTATTCAATTGAATCGTTTTATTATTATTATTATTATTATTATTATTACTATTATTATTAATAGTAATAATAAAAAAATAAATGAATAAAAATAAATGAAATCGACACATATTGGTACGTAATAATTTTTAATTAATTTCAATTGAAAGAACATCTGCACAATCACGATTCGTTTTCTAGCACGAGCTACACACGTGTCACAGAACACGTGTTCCTACGAAGTTACTGATAAGTGGTAGGGAGTCTCTGTTACTTCTTTGTTAGTCGGGTGAAGTTTATCACTATTCTAGGTCAAACACCGATTATAAACAAAAATTATAACATTATTTGGAAGAATTTTTTTAAATAATATTTTAACTATATTTTTTTAATAATAAATTAAGTAAGTTTTATATTTAAATCAAGGTGTAATTATATTTTTTTTTTAAAAAATCTTAATAAATGTATATATGTATATATATATAATCAGATAAAAGTTTTGGAAGACAATTTCAGGCACCAGAACACAAACCATCACGCTTGGATGGAAAAAATAAGAAAATTCTAACATAAAAAAAAAGTCGAGTTCACGACCAAATTCCCATTTTCTAGTGGATGGGATGGATTCACATCACGCAACTACTCACTGAGCTATCCACTTAATGACTCCTATTGATGGACGAACTTCGATTTCTTTGTTCGGCAATTTAACGTGTTAAAAAAAAAGTAAACAATAATAATAATAATAATAATAACTGTAATGAAAAAAAAAACAAATAATATTTTATTCATATTTAAGCATATTAAATACATCTTCAATTACATAAAACCATCCTGTTTATGGCCATTCAATCGAAGGAGGATACACAGACTAGGAAATGAGATTATATCCCAGACGACCTTGCAGTCACGTGATCGGAACGAGGTAAACTCCTGTATAAGTTAAATAACCTTGCAATTTGCTATTATAAATAGTTATTACACCAAATTGGCAATTTAAAAAAAAAAAGTGCAGGAAAATCCAGAAAAAAATTGATAATCAACCAGACAGAAAAGGTGTGTTTCCAGGAATAGATTTAATGCCTTTTTTTTATTATTAAATATTAATTATGGAATACTTTGCTATTGTTTTAACACATAAATGTATTGTTTTTACGTGTTTAATATTACAAAATAACTAATCACGTGACCTTGATGATCAATTGCTATATATGCTAAACGTCACCCTGGAGGCTGTAGAAGTCTGGGTGCTTCAGTCCGACCTTGAACAACATCCCCCTGGTTATATATATCGTCATATTTGAAGTGACTTTTAACGGCACGTGCCATTATCTATATAATAAACATTAAAGAAACGTAATAATATAACAATTTATTTGCATTCCAAACAATTAAAAATTAACCATTTTGTTACACTTAAAAGAATATTTTAACGTTTTAAATATTTATATTTATAAATAAAAATTGATTATTTTTTTTTTTTTTTTAGAATATTTTAAATAAAATAAATATATAGCTCTCTTATTTCTTTATTTCTTCCTGTAATTCATTTATGTATTGATAATTTTTCTTATCTTTGGTAGGTTTTATAAATCGAATTAATTATTAAAAATATATTTAAGAATTTTAATTATATATATATATATATTTTAATATTATTTATTTTTAACTTTCTATCTAACCAATGTTGATCTGAGGAAATTTTGAAATGTGTGAAATGCAACATCTGCCATCAACAATAAAATGTCTGCCTGGCAGGTGTAAGTAGTATAGAAGAGGACAGCTGCTATCATTCAAGTATCCAGACATATATAGGAGTTGATGAAAATTTTTTAAATGATATTAAGTCTGGAATGTTAAATAGTTTTATAATTAAAGTTTCTTTATTGTATATTATAAATAATATATATATTTTAAAGTATATATATATATTCGTCTGGAATGAGAAAATCGCATAGCCTTCGTCCTTGATATTGTAGCCTGAAGTTACAAGACCTAATTCTCTGTCTACCTACTTATCCCTTCGTAAGTGGGTTTTAAGTCATCAGACACACAATATTTTTCTGACGTACAGTTAATAAATATATAAAATAATCCTATTTAAAAAAAAATATTATACGTAAATATTACACAATCTTCCACTTTGAAACAATTAATTTCACAAGAAAATTTTGCTGAAACATCAAGTGATTTTGAAATTTTGCTGATGTATCAATTAATTTAATTATTATTTTATGTATATTAAATCACGTTTATTTTATTTATAAAAAAATTAATAATAATTAATTTTTATTACGTTTTGTTCCAGTTGTGCAGGTGATTTTTTTGAACCAGTTAAACGGTTCGATTTCTTTCTGAATGGGTTATCTACTTACAAAAAAAAAAAAAAAATTGGTAGTTAGAGTTTTGAAAACTTCTAAAATTGTTTTATTTTCGTAAAAGGAATGAAAATAAATTCACTTATGGTGGGAAAACACTTTAAAAAAAGGGCGTATTTAATATAAAATAAACAGATTTTTTAATATATTTCTAGTAACAAAGGAAAGAAAGAAACAAAAAAAAAAGACTTTATATTTTTTAAATTGGTAGTTGCAACATTTAAACAATGAAAAAACAATTTCTCTATCGACTAAAAATAGCATTTTAAAAATTCTTTTTTATTGTTTTCTCATCTCTATTCTTGAGAAAATTGATTTTTTTTTTCTTACGACGACTTAAACAACTTTTAAAGATCAATATTCTCTTCTTAATATTACTGTTATTATTGTTATTAAATTTTCTATAAAAAAAATAAATAAATTTTTTCGATTGTGATTATTGGTCCGAATATTGTGCCAAATCTATTAAAAATTTAATAGATTTTTTAAAAAAAATTTCTTTATATTGTTTTAATCTTTCTTTATAAATGATTTTTAAATACTTTCACGAACGTCGTTACTGTGGGGCAAAATCTAATTTTTCGTTCTGTGCGTGTCCACAGATATTCAGGTCAAATGAATGAACGAGCAAAAAAA